GGTTTGGACGGACTCTTAAAACCTCTTTAGCGCAGACCTCAGAAGCTCTCAGTTCACCAGTCGGATCTCTATTCACAACCAAACCAAGATTGTGAATACACACAGACGAAATCTTTTTTATTTTTTCCTCCTTTTTGTCTCGGTGAGGTCTGTGGACTTGCCCTCAGGAACAAGTTCAGGAGCTCAGACGTTAGTGGAGCAGAACTGCTACTGACCTGATTCCAGATAAGCAGCGGCGGCGGCGGCGGCGGATAATGAGATGAAAGAGGGGAAAACAGAAAGTAAAAGCCACGAGCCACCGATCCGCAAAACAGATCTGACTTTATTAAATCTGCAGTAAATCCTCATGCGTGGACGGCGCTGTGAGCTTCATGTCGACGTAGGAGCAGCATAGAAACAACAATACAGTCATTTTGTACGTTTTTCTTGTTTCACTTCTACAAGAGGAAAGTTTTCTGACAGATTGCAGCTTCTTGTCGTTAATTCTGTGAACACCAGGCGGTTTATGGAGCATTTTCTGCTCCTGTCCCATCTATGGAAACAAAATGAACGCCTCAGAAATGCCTTTTATGCCTCACACCGCAGTTATAATACCATAAATCTTTAAAAAAGAAAGAAAAATGGAAGAAATCAAAGAATTATTTGGATTGTTTATGTAGCAAAAAATTTAAAATCCTGAAATCAGCTTGTACAGCATTTGTCCAACTGTACGGTGATTGTAGAAAAACACAGTGATGCTGCATTATACTGATGTTTTACTGTTTTGTGTGAACACTGTCTGCAGTTCAGTCCAAAAGTCCCTGGATTAGTTTATTCACAGTCAGTGTTGTTAGCGTCGCTCTAATGACGTCCTGGTTGCACTGAGGAGCGCAGAATTGTTGCAGAATTTGATGCAAACGCTTTTATTTTGGTTGAAATTGTAAATAAGACGCGTAGGATATCAAATATCACGATTGTAAGGTTTTAACCGAACATCACGGATCAGAGGTTTAAGATCTGTTGGAAAATTTTAAGTCTAATTTCTGTTGTTGCATTTTCTGACTTAAATAAATGATGCAATTATTGGTATTATTTTTTAAGATAACGTGACGTTCGAACCTGGTGGGAGCTTTTACACACGATTAAGCTGTTTGATTAGTTATTTGGGGGCTGCAGGGTGATTAGACCCAGACACCCGGGATCCTTCTGTGTGGAGTCTCCATGTTCTCCCCGTGCAGCGTGGGTTCTCTCCAGGTTCTCCAGCTTCCTCCCACACAGTCCAAAAACATGTTGAGGTTAATTGGTGATTGTAAATTGTCCGTAGGTGTGAATGTGAGTGTGCTTGGTTGTCTGTCTCTAAGTGTGGCCCTGTGATAGACTGGTTACCTGTCCAGGTGAACCTGCCTTCACCCTGAGTCAGCTGGGATAGACTCCAGCCCCCCATGACCCTAGTGAGGATTAAGGTGTAGAGATGATGGATGGATTAGTTATTTGGTTTATAAAAGGTCTGAAAATGGTGGAA